CCTTAAATATAGTATTTCCTTTTACTTTAAATATAGGCGGTTAAGCGTCTACTATTTTTTATTTAGGTAATAGGTTAAAGGAGGCTTAGTAAAGGAAGTTAATATTAACCTTATTATAAACCCCTATTAAGAGACTATTAAGCTTAACTACTTATAGGCTAACGACCTTTTATACTATAAACTTTATATATAGCTAGTTTAGCTTTTTCTTTAGTCGCGCTAACCTATAGTTATAGAAGTTAAGCTATACTTTATCTCTTACTATAAACCTATCTACTAGCGCCTTAGTCTTATTAGCGTGCCGCTCTTAATCCTATATTATAGTAGCTATCGCGGATTAATAGTATTCTATAGTTTCTTATAGCTTTTATATAAATATAGAAGCGCGGCTCTTTAGTAACGTACTATTATACTACTCCGCTATTACGTCCGCGGTAAATAGGATTAAGGAGGGTAGCTTAAAGCTATATATTACGAAGAAAGGGGCTATTTTAATAAAGGTTTATAGTTTACTATTTAGCGCGAGCTAAGTAGCGGGGAGCTAGCAGTCTTAGTCTACTTAGTTATAAGCTATAACTACCTATAGGTATACCTACGCTTCCTAGTTAACCCTCTTTAGTCCCCTATTAGTTTATAGGTAATAAGCTATACTAAGTAGCTATATAATCTAAAGTAGCTAGTATAGGTACTATTAAAAGTAGCTAGTTTAGTTCGACCTTTTATTACTTATAATAAAAGCTAGCTAGCTATATAAGCGGGCCTAGTATTAAAGGAAGCGCTCTATATAAGCTTTTATATCTATAAATAGTATTAGCTTTAGTACTACTAATTTACTAAGTCGGTCCTTAATTACCTATATATAGCGGTTACTGCCCTTTATAAGTAGGAGGTCTATTATAAAGTCTATTTATATATACGTATAGAACCGGTCTAGTACTAAAAGCTACTTTAGTAGCCCCTTAAGCTATACTTTTTAGATCTTTATATAGCTATAAATATTATAGTTATAAAAAAAGCGATAAATATAGTACTATAAAAGGGGCTAGTAAAAGTCCCTTATAAGGCTTATTACTATACCTTATCTACCTAAGTAACCTATAATACTAAAGTTATAGATAAGTTAAACTAGCTTCCTTTAAAGCTTATTTTATTTATTTAGCTTTAGCGGTCCCTCTTTCTTCTTAGCTTTTATAGTATATAGTACGCCCGGTACCTATAGTCTCCCTTACTAACGTAGATGCCCTTATAGGTCGATATAGTAGTTAGCTACATATACCTTTAGATTTAGCTTTAGATCTAAGTATTAAGCGCCGGACTTAACGGCGCGGCGTATACCCTCGTAGGTATAGTCTAGAGCTACTATCCTATCCTATAAGCGTTAAAGGGCCTTATCTTAGAATACTCTCGCCGCGTATACCCTTAGGCTAGTCTATCCCTCCTTACTAAACTAAGGTAAGGGTATAAAGGGAAGCTTATTTACTAGTACCGCGTCTTCCTTTACTAAGAAAGCTCTTATATAAGTCTATAGTACTTCTTATAGGATAAGCTATAGATCTTAGGCCTAGATATCCGCTCTTATCGGCCGGTCTTAATCCTTTTAAGAAAGTATATTAAAGACCGCGGAGTCTTACTTAAGGCGGTACTTAATCGAGAAGTTAAAGTATAAGAGATACTCCGCTTAGTAGGCTTACTACTCTAAGAGGTACTAGCGAGTTATAAAGTACTTAAGGTTCCTTTAGTTTATAAGAACCTTAAAGCTCTTATAGCTCTAAAGCTCTACTTACTATTACTTAAAGTAGCTAATAATTACTAATATCTCTTTATCGTAAATAGTATAATTTCGCTTTACTAAGGTTAGCTTATAAGAGTAGAACGCTACCGGTTACTTCTATTTATCTACCTCTTAAGAGAGCGTTCCTCTAAGTACTTAGCCGCTATAATCTACTTTAACTAATATAGACCGGTTAAAGTCCTACTAAAGTAATACTAGGGCTTAAGAAAATAGGTCCTTAACTATATAGAACGCTCCTTCTTATATAGGCCCTTAGTAAAAGGCGGTTTATTTCTTAGTAATCTTATTTAAGGGTATTATAATATAAAAGAAGCCCTTAATAAATATCTTATAATAGTTCGCGAACTTAAGGAAGCTTTATATACCTATCTATATAGTTAGGGTAGCTTAGTCTTAAATCGCTTAGATCTTTATAAGATCCGCCTATATACCTATGCCTATATAGATAATAAAGCCTAAGTACTTAACCTTCTTAACCTTAAATTTATACTTATCTAGGTTAAAGTAAAGCCTATAAAGTTAAAAGCGCTTTAGGACCCTTTATACTTTTTATATATAGTCTTTATAGGAGCCGCTTATATAGATAAGGATATTATCTATATATATAAAGGCAAACTTATTAAGGAAGTCTTAAAGCACGTTATTAATATAATACTAGAAGGTAGTAGGTGCTCTTAAGAGGCTAAAAGGCGTTATAAGCTACTTAAATAAGCTATAGTATATATAAAACGCTGTCTTTTACTTATTACCCTTTAAGATCTATACCTTATAAAACGCTTATTTTATATCTAGCTTTATAAACTACTTTACCTTTAAAAGGTTATAAAGTATATCTAAGATTAAGGGTAAAAGGTAGTAGTCTAGCCTTATAATTACGTTTAAAGCCTTATAGTTATAATAGAACTATATCCCGCCCCTTAGTTTATATATAAATAGGACCGGCGCTCTTACTTTAGAGCTACTTACTTAAATAAAACCCTTATTTAAGAGGTCCCTTAGCGTCTTCTTTAGTACTAGTAGCTCTACGTATAATATATTATATAGCGGTCTAAATAGTATAGGTAGTTCCTACCCTTTTTTATTAGTATAGAGTACGATCTTATAGTTTACCCCTAGCTTATATAGGTTAAGCTTATTTACTTCTTAATACTTAAATAGTAGTAAGAGGTCGTAAAAGCGCTTTAATATCTACTATTATAGCTTAAAAGGCGACTTTAGCTTCTTTACTTAAAGGGCCTTATCGATATCCGCTAAGCTAACTATATAGACTACTACGTTAGCCGCTACCTAGCCTTCTTCTTACTCTAACCGTTATATAGTTCCTATAAAGATAGAGGTTAGGACTTCTTATACTAAGTATAAAGCTTATATACCTAGTCCTATACTTATAGAACTATTATTATAGTAAACCTACTATTATATAGGCCTAAACTATAGCTTCTTTTAATATAAAACTAAGTATAACTCTATATATAATAACTAGGGTTTCCTAAGGATTAAGGGAAACTTTAGTTAAGGGATTATATAGGCTATAATAAGCTTATAGTAACTATTAACCTCTATAGCTAGCTATATAATACCCTTAATTACTATACCCTCTATTACGCTTAAAGCGCCCTTTACTTACCTTAAAACGATCTTTTCTACTAATACTTATATCTCTTATATAAGCGCCTCGTTAACTATAGTATAGTACTAATAGCCTTTATCTATAAGGGCGGTAATAAGTAAGGAGTTATTAACTATAACCTATATTAAAGTAAGCTCCTTTTTTATATAGGCGGATAATTCCTCTTTCTCTTTTACTAGTGCTAGTAATTAAGGCTCTAGAGCCCGTCTTTACTCTAGAGCTACTCTTTTTCCTCTAGGCCTAAGGGAGCGGAGTCCTCTTTATCGTCTAAGTTAAGGAGCGGTTCTATCTTTACTACTTAAACTACTATAGGCCGCTTAGCTAAAAAGAAGGGGTATTTTAATATAAAGTATATAGATACGCTATAATATAAGTAGCGGCCGTTAGCTTTCTTTTTCCTAATTTCTTTACTTATTACTTACTTCGCCCGCTACTTAAAGAGCGGGATAGTATAGGGGATATTTAAAGACGACTTTCTACTACGTTTAGCTCGGTCTATATAAGTAGCTAATATTAAGGTATCTCCGTTAATATCGATAGTTAGCTATTCCTCTTATAAAAAGGCGGTAATCCTATTACCGCTATATAGTATATACTTATAAAGCTTTTAAAAACGCAGCGTTTACTTATAGCCCTATACTACCTTTATTAACCGGCTTATATATTTACTATAGTTAGTAGGTATAATTATAAGGATAAGTAGCTCTTATATGGCCGGTATAATTAAGTTCTATAACTATATAAGCTTCGCGCTATCTTCTTATACTATAGTTCCCGCCGCTTATAAGAGCGTTTCTTTAAAGTTAAGGAGGAATTCGCTAAAGGTCTACCTATCCCTTTACTTAAGGGTTATCGCACGGAGGATGAGCAAGTGGGCATAAAGATCAGGGACTGGAAGACTCTTGATTCTGCTATCTAAGGTGGGAAAGAGGCGAGATCTTTATAGACTGCCTGAATATGAGAATGGAAGGGAATGGTAGTGAATGGAAGCATCTGATCAGATCATCTGGAAGCCACTGATGCGTTGATGATGCCTCCTAGAAGTTTCTGTGGGGAAATGTGGAAACGGACTGTGCGAATAGGGGGTCAGACTGTTGGAGGCTGATATCCTATGTGTGACATACCCCCCCAGGTTGTGCTGGCTAGTGGGCAGTGCAAACTGAAGAAAGAAACTAGATCCCTAGCAACGTAGAGATATCGACGAGACCGAGTTGTTTGACGAAAGTAGCAAATTTCTGGCCTGGCAGAGCTTTGGTGAGCGGGCTGAGCGCCGTGGCTGAGTCACTCGGACCGGGGTCCGGTGTCGGATATGGGTGCTGAATGTCATGAAACTCATCCTGATCATCCGAGTCCTCATGATCAGATGGTTCGGGTTGTACCACAATCGTGGTGGCGTCTCCTTGGTCTGAGGTTGAGGAGATTGCTCAACGGGGTCAGGTTCAGGTTCATCGATTTGAGTGGGGATTTCCTCGTAATCCGACTCGTCCTCGATGTGGGCTGGAAGCTGTACTTCCACGCGCTGTGGGATAGGTTCTGGTGGCTGATCATTTCCGTCATAGAAGATGCTTTCATTGAAGGTCACATCTCGGACCCTTCGGACTTCTGATGTGGACGGAATCCAGATCCTGAAAATGTTCGTGGAATCATATCCAACGAGATAACCGATTTCTGTGTGAGGTCGGTCTTTAGGTCCTTCTTCTGTCTGTTCTGAAGGGCCTGGGGTGTCAAGGGATAGGCTCTGCAGCCGTATGCCTTGAGAAACGTGATGTCAGGCTGGTCTTGCTGGTAGCCTATGTCTCTGTTGTTGTCTCGCAGCCACTGATGAAGCAGCTGGAAGGCGTTCGGAAGCTGTGGTTCTGCATGGGCGATCTGTTGTGCAAAAACACTGCAGCTTTCCAAGTCTCTGGCCAAAGATCAGATGGTAAATTGGCATCAATTCCCATTGTTCTGGCCTGGGCAGATATTACCCCCCCAGATCGCTCTGCAGAACCGTTTTGAGCGGGAGTGTAAGGGGCAGAAGGTTCATCTTGAATCCCCTTTTCCTCGATCCAGCTCTCATACGCACTCTGAAGAGAACGATCGTTATCACGGTGGATAATGCAAATGTTGAGATTCCATTGGCGTTGAACCATTGCCTCGTGGTTTCTCAAAGCAGTCATAACGGACCCTTGTGTCGCGTCATTCAGAAGGTAGATGAAGATCATGCTTGTAAATTCATCTTTGATAAGAAGAACAGCTTCCTTGCCGTTGAATGAGGTGTTCATACTGAAGATATCAACGTAGATTCTCCAGAATGGTCTGGGGCTCGGTTTTGAGGTTCGGCGAGAGACGACCTTCTTTCCCTTCCCAAGGAACACGCGGTGCAATCGATGGTAACTGGGCCTTTGATCTTCGAACCCGTCGTGTTCTCAACAAGATGCTCTAGGGCTTGAGCGTTCAAGTGACCTAGGCGCTTATGCCAAAGCGTAGCATCTGCTGTTTTCACTGTGCGAGGTGCAGATGAAGATGTGAAATTGGAGGCGTGAGAGTCCTCCTTAATCGGGTTGAACTCGATGACCGGTTGACGAAAGCGGCGTTTCGTATGAAATATAATCTGATCGTCTTTAGAGACGCGTCCAGATAGTGGATTCCAGTTGTATCCCTTCGCAAGAAAGCGGTCGAGGATGCGATGTTGGTGTGGAATTTTGGCACGAAGGCAACTTCGTTGAGCTGAAAAAGTCCTCCTTCTTCAAGCTTCATACGGACTGTGCCGTAGCCAAGGATCTGAAGTTGACTATCGCCTGCAAAGAGCTCTTTTGGCTCTGCAAGGGCGGTGTAGTCAAGAAAACGGGATCGGTTGTTGCATGTGTGTGTCTGATCCGGAATCAAGGATAAAGGAGTCATACAGCGGGTAGACTGCCTTTCCCGTCGAGAAACTGGTTGATGGAGGTGTTGAGGGAGGCGGTGTGTTGTCAGGAGCTGGTAGAAGACCGGCAAACGCTGTGCCTTTAACGGAGGAGTCGGACGATTTCTCCATTTCCTTCTTCTTGAAGTCTTGTGCTTTCTCCGTCATCTTCTTTGCCCCTGGATTGAGTCGAGGATTTCCTTGATCTTCTTCTCAACCTTCTGATCAGGAGTCCAGCCATCAGGCCGAGCTGATTTGATGAGATAGAAGCAATCTACGAAGCGGTGATATTCTCCGCAGACACACATAGGAACACCATCAGCGTTCTTGCTTGAAGACCACTTAGGCTTGTCCTCTTTCCTCTCCGATTTCTCTCCTTGCCTTGGAAGGCAGCTCGAATGATCCTTTGCTGTTGTTGGCGGCCTTGATTCGGTGAGCTCGTTCAAAGATCTCACTGATCTTAATGCCGTCCGGGAAGTCGGTCTTCCAATCAGGCTTGCCGAATACGGCCTCGTCTTCCATTTTGTTGACCCAATAGTCTGTGAATGGGGCGTTGATGGACGAAACAGCCTGTAGGAAATCTTGGGTAGGGCGAAGGTCCTGGACATCAGGAAGCCCTAATTGCTTTGCCTCAGTGAGGACTTTCTGCCATTGGGTGACCCAAGCTTCGATCTTGGTCCTGTTTGGCGACTGAAGGGTGGAACGATAACGCTGAACAACTTCCTCTCGAGTGCCCAGTCGGTTGGGGCCACACGAGCCTGAAGCAAGGCAAGTTGCTTTGCAACGTCGTGTTCCTCGGCAATGGTGCTGTAGTAGTTGCCGATGGTCTTGACGATGTGTTGTTGAAGGCTGGCGAGTGCCTTCACTTGATCCCTATACCCTTGAAGCTTCGAGCGGTATTGGGTGTGGAGAATTCGAGACGGCGAAATTCCTCCGAGGTCAGATCCACGAGATCAGATGCTTCGTGGTTGATTTGTCGGAATGTTGGTTCAACTGGCTGCTGAAGAACCGGCTTACCCTCCTTGACGGCAGGGTCAGAAAGTCCCAAAGACTGTGGGACGTGGCGAATTTCTTGATGATAGAAATCCATTGTTTCCAGTCGCAAGGGCCGTTGAGCACGGTGCCCTTGGAAGAGCCATCAAGATCTAGAGCTGAGCTCATTGTGGAAGCTATTCTGCGCAGCGGAATGAACGAGAATAAGATACCCAGTCAATGGCAGACCGGGCTCATAACTATCGCACGGAGGATGAGCAAGTGGGCATAAAGATCAGGGACTGGAAGACTCTTGATTCTGCTATCTAAGGTGGGAAAGAGGCGAGATCTTTATAGACTGCCTGAATATGAGAATGGAAGGGAATGGTAGTGAATGGAAGCATCTGATCAGATCATCTGGAAGCCACTGATGCGTTGATGATGCCTCCTAGAAGTTTCTGTGGGGAAATGTGGAAACGGACTGTGCGAATAGGGGGTCAGACTGTTGGAGGCTGATATCCTATGTGTGACAAGGGTCTATAGCCTATCCTATACCTTCTCCTACTCTTATATATTACCGAACGTATATATAAGGTATTAAAAGAAGTCTTATACGTCGCGTTTACTTTTAAGGCCGCCCTTATCTTAGAATTTAAAGATCCGCTATATCTAGGGCTCTAGTAGTATATAAAGGAGTAAATACCACGCTATATTATAATAGCCGTTTAGGCCCTATTTCTCGTTTATTGTAAACTTCGTCTATAGCTAGCTAAGAAAGAAGTAAAAGGACTTAAGCTTACTATCTTAAGTTAGCTAAGGAAGCGGCTTTTATATTAGTAGTACTACCGCCGTAACCGGTATTACTAAGGTCGTAGGGGTTAACGCTAGTCTTATAGATAGCTCCCTTAGTATAGCGAGAACCTCGTTCTTCTTACTAGCCGTTGCGCTTTTAATCGCTTTTAAGATAGCTATAATACTTCCTATCTACTTAAGGGGTAGTAGGGTGCTCCCTTAAGGAAGCGGCACCCTTTCTAAGAAGATATTTATTAGATCTATTAATTAATAGCTTATACTATTATAGAGTAAGTAGAAGCGTATATATAGGTACCGTCTATAAGATAGTATTAATAAGCTATATAGAGCTCTTCTATACGCGGCTAGCCCGCCCTTATATATATAGGATCCGGCTATCTATATATAACTATATAGCTTAGGCTATAGGCTAAGCCTATTACCTATAATAGTTAAAGACTCTTATATACGCTAGGTTAGCTAAAAGAAGTATATATATAGTTACTAAGAAGTTCTTAAAGGGGTAGCTCTTTTACTTAAGCTTATAACTATTATAAAAAAGTAATAGCCGCTTATTAAATATAAGCGATAGCGTTAATTAATATATATAGTATATATAATAATATCCTTATATATAAAATAGCTATTTTTAGCTACCTTTAAAGCTAACGTTTAATTACCTAGTTTAGTTAAACTACTTACGCTAGTATATATATATATAAAACTATCTATACTCTTATAGTTATAAAATTAAAGCGAATATAATACTTAGTTCGCTTAGGTAATTAAGAGCCTCTTATAATAATAAGGCTTTATATAACTAAGAGTAATACTACTATACCTTAATAAGTTTAATAGCTCCTTTATAAAGCTTAAGCTATATCTACTTTATATAAAAGTAAAGCTTTATACTAATAGCGCTATAATAAAGGATATCCGCGCTTAATTTAACTATTTTTATATAAGCTTATTTTTATACTTATAAAGGTATCTTTTACTATTTACGCGTACTAGTATAAATAGACTAGCTAACCTCTTTATAAAGCTCTATACTAATTATAGTAAACTTAATATAGCTAAGTTAGTAAGCTAAGAGCTTATAATACTTTATTAAAAGTAAAGTAAAGCTATTTTAGCTTACCTTATATAGTTTAAAAAGGTACTTTATTAAGTAAATATATATAGCTAGCTTAATATAGTAAAGTATAATTACCTTATTATAAGCTTAAATATAGATTAATATACTTATTTAAGTAAAAGGTCTATACTACTAGATATATATACTAATCTTATTTACTTTCTTTATAAGCTTAGTAGTAATAAGTTCCTTTTTTTATTTTCTTTTATAGTATAAGAAGAGGATAACGCTAATAATACTATAGATATCTCTATCTTTACCTTAAGAACTAAGGATTAAAAGAGGTAGTAATAGAAGGGTCGCTATATAAGCTATAGTAGTAAATCCTATTAGTTTTTAAAGTTCTTATATTTAAAAGTATAAGTAAGTATACTTTAAGTAATAAAGGAGCGTATACGCTAAGATAAAAAAAAGGTTAGGTTTAACGATAGTAACTTTAGTAATAAGTAATCTTAGTAACGCCTTTATAAGCTTTATTAGCGTTCCCTTATATATAGTAGTAGCTACTATATAAATAGGATATATACTTATAGCGACTAAAAAAGTAGCTAAGATATAAAAAGGCTACTAATATAATATAACTATAGTAAAAAGGAGTGCTTATATAGCCTTATATAAGAGGGAGTAAAGCTTTATATACTAAAGTACTATCCTTTATATTATAGTACTAAGAGCTACTACTATATACTAATATAAAGATAGTAGGATATTATAAGCTTATTAAAGCTAGCTATATACTATTTTATATACCTTTACTCCTTAGCTATAAATACTAAAGCCCTACTCTTAGGGCACGGCCCTTACTAATAATATAGTTTATTTAAGAAGCTCGCTTAAAAGGGTATTATATATTATTTATTAATGTTTTTTCCGCGACTAAGCGTATATAGTCCGCGTAAGGGTTTTATCCCCTTAAGCGTAGTATTAAGTATTATTTAAAGTCGCGATTCTTTAAAAGCTAGGTAAGGGTATAATATAAAGGCTTTTACCTTATATAGGCCTAGACTAAGGTCTAAGCTAAGTCTATATATAAGCGGCCTCTATACCTATATAGGCTATACTTATACTTTTCTTTCTTTTCCCCTTTATAAATTATTAACCTTCTTTTAATAGACTATACTTAAGCCTATACCTTTACCTACTCTATAATAATAGGTACTAGTAATAATAATCTAAAACTAAATTCTAGCTTTTTATAATAAACTAGCTATAATACTCTTAGTAAAACTAGCCTTAAATAACGCTTATAATATACCTATTTATAAAGCCTCTAATATATAGGATACTTTAAATAATAAGCTACTAAGCTTTAAGGAACTAATAAAAGAGGAAGCTAAGGAGGAGATTCTTAACCTTACTTTTACCCCTATAGCGTAAGATAGTCGGTTACTAGTTTAGCCTTATTATATCCCTAGTCCTATTTATTTTTTACTAGCTTAGCTATTAAGCGCCCTTAGCTTTATTTAGTTTTCTCCTAG